GGCGGCATGTTAATTGTATTGATCTTAACGTGAAAGGCACTTCAACAGTTAAAAAGTTATAGTTATAGCAGTAATATGCCCATTTTGGAAATGTTGGTGGAGGTTGGAATCTCCTAAACCGAATTCTAAGTAATTCTGTCCGTAAAGGTGAATCTTTTGGCCACATCTCCGTCATTTGATATTCACATTTTATACGTTCTACCCCGACTCTAAAAATTTGAGTACACAACTTCTCCATCAGTCAAGTAATATAGGACGTACTACCCTTAGGGCGATGCTAGCTGCAAAGCATACCAAGCATATTTCGAGTATACAAAAATAAATAAATATTTGGCCCTCAAACATTTGCTGATGCTTGCCCGAGCTTCTCCTGCGATTTGTAGCCTGCGCTTTGACGTTGTGAGGAGGGACCTACAGTTTCACGTCCCGTTAGCTAAAGCCTCTACATAACGAACTGTCGACTCAAGAGCCTCTTCATTATAGGTAGCAGATATTTGCATACGTGTGACTTTGTCACGGTTACTCAAAAGTCACGGGTAACTGCCGTGACAACTTCAAAAAAGTCACCGCGACAAACTGTGACAAAGGAACAGTCACAATGATGTTATGGTAGTAGAATTTCGCTTTCCAAAACAGCAGTAACGGTCACAGTCACTGCTACGAACTGTGACTGTGAGAAAGTAGCGGTCGCATTTACTTATCAAGGAACTGCGACCACTTATGTTAACCATAAAGAAATTTTCTTATAATGACATGTTATTTAAGAAAAAAATCTGATTAAGTGGTTTGATATTAGAATTTCACACCATTAAGAACGAGTGTGAATGGCCAAAACAAACGACGAAAATAGTCAGTGAGGCAAATAGATGGATAATGCCCTTAGTTCACTCGGTAACAGATTTCAGTTTTGCAACTTTTTTTGTCACCGTGACTGCAAAGTCAGTCACAAATAACGTTGTTCCTCAAAAGTCACGAGATCGCCCATCTCTACTCTGCATAGGGAATTATCAATATGTTGACTGTTAGAGTCCAGTTAAAAAAAAAAACGGTAGTTATGCCGATTTTTTTTTTTTAATGTTGTGTTTTTCTTTGTATCCATAAATTAGGCCATGGAGCAGAAGTGGCCTAACCCACAATTTTTTTTAGTTAACTTCTTAAAATAGTTTCAAATGTAGGTAATCAGTTTTAAAATAAAGGTCGCTTATTCCTTACTTTGATGTAGCTTTGTACCTTAAAATTAAGGAATAAGCGACTTTTATTTCAAACTTTATCTCATTTTAGGCTATGTATTTTAACTAGATAAATTCTAAACTGTCGAAATGTATTTGCCTGTAATATCTTTTTTGATAAAAAAATCGATTGAAAACCAGCTATTGGAACGTTCGCTTAAGTAAGCAGTCCAAATGTTAAAATTTGGGTATTTGCAAAGGATGCAAACAAATTTACTGAGAGAGAAAGCCGCACCAATTTTTAATTTTTTCAACTTAATTTTAAATATTTACATGGTCTACTAAGTTATTTTAAAAAAATCGGACTATTTTTTACACTTCAAAGGATGTTTGCAGCTCTGAAGAAAAACGAAAAATTCCTATAAAATGGCGCACAAGAAATGAAAAAGAAATTTTCTTCTATCAAAATTTCCTAAATCATTTGTCCAACCGCTCGAATTGCTTTATATCGAGGTTTTACTGTACATTGAAATAAGCTAATATTTTATTACGACAATGAAAAAAACTTAATACATACATACATATATACAATGCATTTTTACTCATAAAGAATTTATTTTAACAATAATATTTACAGCACATGGATTGAAGGCGAATTTCTGATATTCGATGACAGTTTTGAGCACGAGGTATGGCATAACGGTAGCAGTTTCCGGCTTGTCTTGATCGTTGATGTTTGGCATCCAGATTTGAGCGTGCAGCAACGTCGAACGCTAACACCGATTTGATTGAAACATGAACATAGTCGTTCATACTGCATACATACTACATACGTACATATGTAGATACTAGTTGATTATTGTATTGAGTTCCTGTTCGCATTACACGAAATACTACTTACGTACATAAATAATTAGCCACACGTTCAAACGAATAAATACATACATACCTATAAACGCATAATTTATGTATTAAGCAATTGCTGCTTTCTTCGTTTAAACAAAAACCATAATCTGTAACAGCTTTGTTAACTTTAAGCTCAGCTTTCACGCCTAACAACATGCAAACAGCTCATTTTGTATACATAACTGTGTTTCGATTTCACTACTAAAACAAAATATTTATTAATTTAATTATAAAATGAATTTAATTAGAAAATGTGGCTCAAAGGTATATTTTTAAGATTCGATGTAAGTATGTATGTAAGCAATCGTATGTAGCGCCATAAGAACAATTTAATTGGGATATGTGAAAACTATAAACCATCTGTTGATATTTGTGTTACTTAATGAAAAGAAGTGCAAGGGTTTATTGTATAAATTAAAAATAAATAAGAATATATATATTTTTTTTTGATAAATACATTTAGTATTGTATGTAAATATGTATATGCAGATGTATGTATGTACATATATACTGTGAATAGCTGAAAATTGAAATGAATTTGTGTATGCAGCAAGCACATTGAAATAATTTAAAAAGAAAATGTATATCAAATGATTTGGTTTGGTAAAAAAAAGACTAATTGGTTTATTGCATTTTTAAAACATAATAGCCTACACATCGTGCCCTAGCCAAATGAAAACGTAAGCGATTTTTTTTCAAAATTTTCTTTTTGATTTAGAAATGTATCAAGATGCTGTAGGAGGATTTCCGCGTTAATTATTTTTTTCATGATGAAATCATCAACGTGAAATTGTCGTTTCTTATATAGTCATTGGATTTAAAACGATTAACTGAAGAAAGATTCATGATTGTACGATTATGTGCTGTAGTCAGAAGTCAATTGCGACTTACTTTTCTACATACGTACACACATACATATCTACATACATATGTCTGTATGCATTCAAAAGACACTCTGAACCAAGAAAATTTTACATGAAATATGTTTTTTTTTTTAATATTTTTATACGCTTGTTTATACAACATACATATGTATCTATATTTCTTGCACACATCTTTAAACTAGCTATAAGCTTAAATATTTATTTATTCAAACTTTATATAAAAGAATTTATTTAAAGTTAATGTTAACCAAATGGAAGCGAATAACTATTAAAAATATTTAATTAAAACAAATGCCACTGTAAAAAGCTCAGAGAAAAGAAATGTGTTGTAAATACGAATTTTGGAATGAAGTAGCTTTCCTTTTTTACACCTGACAAAATGCTTGTTTTATTTATATTTAAATTGACTTCGTTACGATGTAAGTGGTATGGAGGCCAGCACTATGGACGAAATCAAATACATATTATGAATTTCCAAAAGGAACCTCGAACATTTCTTATATCCATTACAGTTGGGGAAGGACTCTATCTTTCCATCTACCTGACTGTATTTCAATTAGAATCGGCGGCCATTCAAGAAGCTTTTGATTGCCTAAAACTCGATATAAGCATATACATTAGGAATGTTAATGCCGGGATTCCGGCCTTTTTTAGGTCCCGAAAATCCCCGGATTCTTGGCAAATAATCCCATAATTTTCAGGATTTGTTATTTGCAGTGGTCGCAATAATAGAAACTCCTTTTCTTGCCCACTATTGACAATATCTTCCTTTTTTATTTAATAATTAATATTTTTTTTATAAATGTCTAGCTCATTATACATATGTAAAATACCGTGCGATAGTAAATTTTACACACACATATCAATATATTCGCGAAACCATGGACCAATTATAGTAAATTGTGTTTTTAGTTTTTCACTCTGACGTCAGTAATTCAAAAATAATTTAAAAAAATCCATTGAAATGTGCCTAGAGAAAAAGTATGGGTATCAAATTAAAGAGGAACTGGTAAGTATTTAAAATGACCTTTTGAAATTTTACCCTGTTTATTGTATATCGTCGTTTAAAGTACAGAACCGCGTATCAACAAAATGCAAAGCCGCGTATGTGATCAGGTGGCATAAATTATTTTCTAGAGGGTAAAAACACTCCTATATCAAAATGGTTCTCTTTTTTATAAAGCAATCGCATTTTTGGTTAGTATATTTCAGGACGAATGGATAAGGCTTGCGCTAACAGTTTGTGTGAGCAAATCCAATTTTTGGCAGAAAATGTCAGTTACGCGGTTTTGCAGAGTGACGACGATATGCGGTTTTGTACTTTAAACGACGATATGCATGCCAGTAATTCAGCTCCTCCTACCGAACTAGTTGAATTAGGTAAACTATAGTTCAATAAGAAGAACGAGATAAGGCTAGGAAGAGCTAGTTGATATTAGGGATCCATTGTCACAACTCTCGAACTTAAGCTAAGCAAATATTTTCTTAAAGTCATCGAATAGCGCTGAGGCAGCAGAGCATTTGAATCCGAATAGAACAGTGGTTCAAAATTGGCATTTTGTATTCACAATTCATTGGAGCCTGAATTTTTCACTCAATTTGATTAATTTTTTAAATATATATACATATATAGCTTATAAAATTTGCAATTTGCAAGAGACTAGTTGAGCCCGATTTTTGAATTTTTGTTTGTTTGTATTAATTTTTGTTAGTGCAAAGTGCAGAAAAAGTAGCAATTTTGAAGAAAATCGATTCTCCTGTTCCAGTTAATAAATGTTACATAGTAAAAACTAGTTAAAAACAATCGTAGGGTTCCCTCCAAAAGCATCTGTTACAATTACTAGTCGTTACGATGCGTTTGGTTAGCATACTGCATGCTAATAAGGTCATCCCTAACTACATATTATAAAAAATAATTACTAAGTATAATAAACGTTTGTTGCACTTCATTCCACGCACGCAAGCCACTGGCAACAATTACCTACATACATACATACGTTTGGAAGTGTATAAAAGCATGTGTGAATATCGGTACGATCGATTATAAATGAATTCCCCATAAAGCGTTTTTATCAAAATGTACAATCGGCTTATTGTAATTTTAATATTTTATTTGAATTTTGCTAACACAAAAGCAAACGCACCGGAAGTTTGCATCGACACATTAGGATGTATTGAGGGCATTTATCAACCAGGCAACGAAGTGGAAAAATATGAAGCCTTCTTGGGTGTGCCCTATGCCCAGCCGCCTATTGGGGAATTAAGATTTAAAGTAAGAAAAACATAGAGGCTTTCTACGAAGTATAGAAGATTTATTTTATAAAAGTGCTTATGTTTTACTTGTATATACATATGTATGTAGAACCCCGTTCCGATTGAGCCTTGGCACGACAAACTGCCAGCAAAAGAACCGCATACAGAATGTATTCAAAGGAATTACTTCGCAACTCCTATTTCTACGATGGGCGAAGAAGACTGTCTTTATTTGAATTTGTATCGTCCTGCGGTGAGTATTTTCTGAAAAATATTTCTTAAATAAACACAACGCGGTCGGGACTCAGTTGCAGTAAATTTGCGTTTTTAGTATTTCCAAATTTTTTAAACTTCAGAATTTCAGATTCGAAATCTTATAATAATAAATCTATAAAAACACATACGTATCAATTTTTTCCATATTAAAAAAAAATTTTTCGAACATATTTTTTATAGAAGAAAATGACTAACACTGGGAAAAAATTGCTAAACAACAACAGCAAGTCCTAGCTAATTCAAACTTACGTATACATTTTACACCGTGCGACAAAAAAAAAATAATAAAAAAAAAAACAATAAATCTTCGCAGGCAACTGTGGGCTAAATATAGTAAGACTTTTATCTCTGACGTCAGAATTCTTTTTAAAGGGACTTTGAAATTTAATAGAATTTTCTCTTTAATTTGATACACATACTGTTGTGTACACTGAACTGACTTAATTTTTTTAAAGTTCTTGGAAGTAATTATATCCTTTAAAAAAATCCTGCCATCAGAGAGAAAAAATAAAAACGCAGTTTTACTATATTCGGCCCATGATTTCGCGAAAAGGTATATTGATTTTTTTGTGTGTAAAATTTAATATAAGATGGCGCAAGAGTCGAGATATTTTGAAAACCCCTATTTATGGTCCGATTTGGTTCATATTTAAAACGTATACTAATTACATGAAAGTGAATAACTCCTTAAAAATTTTGCCCGCTTGACCAAAGCTTGTCTTAATTTTTTTTAAATTACTTGTTTATTTTCTATATTTAATTGTTTTAAAAAAAGTGGCGGATAAAAATTTATTCATTGAAAATTCTCGAACGCTAACTGAAAATGAAGAGGGCTGAAATTTTGCAAAAAATTTTTTTTTTGTGACGACGAAATTATAATATGAGACCGTATTTGTTTTATTTGACACGGCTTCACAAATGTGTGTTCATTAGGGTGGTAAAAAAAAAGAGTAAAGTAGGAATTTTAATGCTCCCACCCCCTATTACTGTTTTATACCAAAAAAAATTTTACCCCTGTTTTTTTTTTATTTTCAAATCAAAAAATATTTAGAGGTCGCCCAAGGCGCTTAAACAAGTTTAAAACAAAAACCAAGTTTTCGTAGAAATGATATTGGATTCTAAGAAGCAAAGGATTTTAACTGGAGCAAAGAGCAAAAAAAAATTCAATTGCTCCTTAGCTCCTTAAAGAAAAATTAAATTCACTTGGATTTTTTTTTTCTTTTGGATGTAGAAGTGCTCCTAGAGGACCTAGGAAAAATTAAAAAAAAAAATTCGCCTTTGATTTTTGGCGGTTAGGGCGCGATGAAAAAAAACCTTTGCTCCGAAGCCCTGCATTTTTCATAAAAAAAAATTCTTGCGTATTTTATTTTACCACTCATTCCTTTTTTATTTATCCATCGATTTTCTTCATTAGTAGCTTGCTTTTTTTGTAAGAGACCAGGCTTTAACACAAAAAAAAGTAGTACACAGAAACAATTTTTTTTTAGTATTGTCCATGCTAAAGTTTGTTTTTTTTATATTTTTTCTATCAAAAAACAAAAAATCTGGAATGATTACTTAATTTCTCAGAAACTATCTGGCCTGTTGCAAAGTGATGTACATATGTATGTATGTATATGGGCATATTTCTAGAACATTCTATTTTCGACATTTGAAAAAAAGTTAAGGCGCAATCATCTAACTGATCTCTTCTTACACTTTGAGACTTGAAACAAAAATAAAAAATGGAAACTCAGTTTTCAAACTCGGCACTGTAAACAAAGACAAGAAAGAAGAAAGATATTTAGACTCGAGGTAATACGTGGATTGTAGATACAGTTACTCAAACAAATGACCAGTTGAAATTTTGATGAAAATTTGTTGATTTTTCCTAAATTTTGTATAAAGTTTGAAACTGTGAGTTATTTGTATTTGGTTAAAGCTTGGTTGGTATTTTTATAGAAAAATAACAAAACAATTTAGCAGGAAAAACATTATGAATATTATAAAAAATTAAAACGTGGTCATTTGTTTGAGTCACTGTATGTATAATTTCCAGCAGAAAGTCGTTACTTTGCCTACATTATATTATTATGTATTTACATACATACATACACACATACATACGTATACTTTAAGCATATTTAGGGAGCCTCATTTTCTGAAAATATTTTTAAATTTGGCTGTTCAAATTTTAGATTTATTATAATTTTTCCTATCCTGCGTCATATGTAACTAGAATTTTAAAGAACTTTAGCTATGTACCTCACACATATGGCTTTTCGCAAGGACACATTGATTGAAAATAAATTTTTATTCACAGCAACGTTCTGCTGAAAATCTACCAGTTTTGTTTTATATACACGGCGGTGGATTTTTTTGTGGATCTCCGAATCCTCTATTTTTTGGTCCTGAATATTTTATGGATACGAACGAGGTCATATTGGTGATGCCTGCCTACCGCTTGGGTCCGTTCGGTAAGTATGTATTTCTGCAAATTGTATGCGGAATTTTAATGTTTCGTACTACAATAAAGGTTGCCACCTATTTCTCAATTTCAATTTAAAAATTTGTCTAGGTTTCCTAAGTAGCGGTGATGAGCACATGACTGGCAATTTCGGATTAAAGGATCAAAATTTAGCTTTGAAATGGGTGCAATCGTACATATCCGCATTCGGTGGTGATCCATCGCGCGTTACTATTTTTGGCCATAGTGCTGGCGGAGTATCGGCGCATTTACATATGCTAAGCTCCGCCTCAAAAGGTATGATTTTTTTTTGTTGCTTTAATGATAATAATTCTATGAGGCAATATTTATTCGGTGAATTCGAAGGCTTATTTCGCAATGCGGTGCCAATTAGTGGCGTTGCAAATACAGCATTTGCGGAACCGATCGACCCAAAGGCGCAAATTATTAAATTTTCCACAGCTGCAGGAATAACCAACGCTTCCAATATGCCTTCTATAGAACTTGTCGATGCTTTGCGCAATTTACCAGCAGAACAATTGTTGCAAGCTTCCGATGCCTTGAAAACTTGGTACGTTTATCCTTTGACACATTTTCGACCCACCATTGAAAAGGCATCATGGCCGGAGCCATTTTTAACAACCAGCGTGCGTGAATTACTCGATAAAGAGCCGCCCCAGACGGTGCCATGGATTTCGGGTGTTATGCCAGCCAAAGGTGAGGGTGTAATCGCAGTACTAAAACTCACTGGAGATCCAGCTTTGCAAGCTGAGTTCAACGGGAATTTCGATGAATTATTTAAGCAAGCAACAGATTTATCCGCTGTGGAACGTAACCCAGAAAAGGTCAACGATGTAGTAGAACGTTTAGTGGCAGAATATATGGGTGGAGTACGTATGTTGAATAACGAAACATTGGATGGTTTCTTAGAGGTAACGAAGTACAGTCAATTTGAAATGACATAGTTGGCAAAGTGTTTTTCTACGCTTAGCTTTTAGGTGATTTCAACTTTCATTATCCATTATACAAAGCAATTGTCAACAATGTGAAATCTAGTGACGAAACACAGTCCCCTACAGGGATAATCAAGTTCAATTATCAGGGACCTTATACACATTCTACATTTTTTTCGGGCAATACGAAAGACTTTGGTGCGATACACGTTGATGACACCTTGTTTCTTTTTGGTATGCCACTAATAGCACCACTTGGATATTCAAAATCGTCGGCGGACGCTGAGTTGGTAAAGCGATATGTGGGTCTGTATGTGGAATTTGCCAAATTCGGGTGAGTACGTAAGAGCTTCTAATAACTATGTGTTAAGGGAAATTATTCGTTAGCATTTAGCTGAGCCGAATCCATACAAGGTGCAGTGCAAAGATGTTCGTAGTGTAATAATTTAGCTTTCATTTATGAGGCATACATACATATATATGTTTGTCAGATTAGGTTAACTTGGCCGATCCATAAGATCCCGACTTATCCTTTGAATATTTTTATGACGCTTAAATAGTATCAAAAGAAGCATTCAAACTAGGGCCAAATAAATTTAGTATTTTTTGTACCAGCTTTTCCACTCTAATCCAAATTAGGGGCACATCAGTGGCGTTCCTCTCTAGAGTAAGAAGGACATCGGCTAAAAAATTTAACTTGTACACTAGGGTGTTCCTTAAAAATATCAATATCTAGTCCTGTATTTTGTTCTGCGTACAAAATAACGGCGTATGCGAAAATTTAAAAATTAAGAAAAAATATTTAGAGGTCGCAACCAAGATTCGAAAAAATTAAATTTTTTTTTCAAAAATCGCATTAATTGGGCAAAATTTTGACTTTGATCTGCTATATTTCAGCGAGTTTATGATTGCCTATGTATAAGTTTCAATAATGAGTCAAATTTATTAACTACCTTGAAAGCTCTTTTCCGTATTTCGAAAGACTAATTGAAATATCTGCTGACAAGGTGGTCTTACCGTTATTCTGTTCATCTTTTAGTAATAAGTTTCCAATAAATTAAATTACAAATATATTTATTTTTCTTCTTAAAACAATAAAAACTTTCGGTAATGGCGCGCTGGAAACTTGAAGTTTTTCCCAGTGGCAAATCTGGCTACTGTTTCAAGCCCACACTAATACCGGATTTCCACTAAGCATTGGAATTAGAAAAAATGTATGCCATTTAAAAAAATGCCATATGGAAATGAACTTAATGCCTTCTTTAACATAATAACACGATTATTTTTTAGTGCCCGACTTTGTAATTTGTCATTTTTGCCGTATAATGCCTAGCGGAAATCCAGCATACGAAAAAATAACGTGAATATTTCAAGCAGTGTTATTTTTGGTTTTTTCATGTTAGCGAATTAGAAATTTTTGAACAGAAAAAGTATTTTTAAAACAATTTTTTTGTTTAACTTAAACATAAGTTTGTTTAATCGATCACAGAATGGAGTTGCCTAGAAATTTTCATCAAAAATCAGTTCAGCCCAATAAAAAATTTCCAAATTACACCACTCTGTAGGTACCAAAAACCAATCTGTACGAATGTACCAATCGCGTGATTTGGCGTTGAAAAGACACTCACATATTGTGACAAGCAGCTGAGTGCGCAGAGATGCTTGCTTCCATGTGTTGATGTCAGGAGTGTCCAGCTTCAAATCACATTTAGCGGAACATATAATTTTAATTTTTTTTAGATTTTCTTAATTTGGAAAAAGCGTCTGTGAAGTGCAGAACGAAATCGTATTCAAACAAAATAGTCTACAAAAATAAATCAATAAATGGCGCATAATCATTTATGTTTTAGCTTGACACAGAGAGGATATGGTTCATTTTTTCTCAGTGTGGCAATATTTTTTTCCTTTTCCGTTGCATTACCTTGGTTAGTTTTTCGAAATGTTCTGTTTGGGGTCAAGTTGATAAAAACAGGATTCGTTACACTATGGCACCAAAGACTTTAGTTAATCTGGACTTCGGTATATGTATGGGGATGATTTGAGACGCTATACTTGAATTTCAAAAAAGGAGTTTGAAAATTGTCACTTTTTGCCTAAATGCTTTGACCGCTGCTTGTAGTGTGATGGAGGTTTTAGGCTATTTTACTTGGATTAACCATCCATATATATATGTTTCTTTTCAGAAATGTTGAAGTCTTCCAAAAAATGCAGCCCTGCAGTAAGGATTCATTTGAAAAACAAGGTTTTTGTGATTATTTGTCCATCGTCAAGGAAACCGATCCATTTCAGGTCGACAACGCATGGAATACGGAACGCATGAAATTGTGGGATTATGTATACAAAACACTGTATTAAGATGTAAATATGTAATACAAATAAATATCTTATATACATATTATTAAGAGAATAATCATTATTTTTCAAATATTAACCAAAAAAATCAACAGGTTATAATCACGTATTTGTGCTCGTACGTCCTACTGGAATTTATAAGGATTTTTTTATTTTTGGAGTTTAATCAATTAAGATTAAAAGCAATAATTAATATTTGAGTTTTATTTTTTCGCTCAGAGGAAATTATTATTACTTGATTTTTATTTTTTCGATCAAAGATGATAATTACACTGCCCAACAAAATTCTGTTGAGTAAAAAATCGTAGCCGACTCCTATAGCATTTTTCCCTTAGAATCCGAATCTGACAGTTTTTGAGCAACTTATGTTTAAAGGTGGCGAAAAACGGGTTTTAAGACATTTTCGAGCCTCTGTAAAACAATAAATTTATGCAATTTATCTGCCTGAGTGGGAGGATGTGAAATCCCAAACACTGCGCTTTAATACTCAAAATGAAAAAAATATGGTTAAACAGTTAACGGCCTTTATCCACATTCTTTGATGTTGATTTGCATAGTGAAGACCAGTAAATTAGGGATTTGAAATTAAACCATCGACGAAGTGGAAAGTTGGCGTGATACCGGCGCGATTAGTGGCAATTTGAAAGCGAGAGTTAATTGAAAAATTTAAGCCATACAACCGGGAGCGCATGTGCATGCCCAGCAAAAAACACGATTACCACAGAAACGAAAGTGGAAACGAGCTAGGCGATGGGAATCGCTTACCCTTTCGCTTCAAGAAGGCCTTATTTTAACATGGGCATGTCATTGGAGGTAAGCCCTTACCCGCAGCATTACCTTCAAACGAAGGGAGAACGCATGGATAAACAGAATCCAGAGAAGCGAACAAAGAATGCCTTACAGAGAAACTAATGTAGAATGCCTAGATAAGTACATACTTATTTATATTAAATTGAAATCAGAAAATGTCTTAAAAGATTAAAATTAATTAAAATTTTTATAAATCAGCTTTTATACATACATATGTATTTATTTAGGTATTTAGATTTTCTTAAAAATCGGTATGTACATACATGCATATTTAACTAAGCTTAAAATTGTACTTCCTCACTCTTGTACTTCACTTCATTGACTGACTTCAACTTCGCTGCAAATTGAACAAAGCAAAACATGATTTTTATGCGAGACAAATTTCCACAGAAAGTAACGGTAGAAAAAGAATTTTTGGGTATTCATTCTATTTTTCAGCTGACTACGATGCAGCATTCTACTTTGCATTCTCCGAAATGAAGCAAAGAAGCGAAATAAAAAAAAAATATTGTAGGACATTCTACTTTGCATTCCCTGAAATGAAGCAAAGAAGCGAGACAAATAAAATATTGTAGGACATTCTACTTTGCATTTCCGGAAATGAAGCAAAGAAACGAATTAAAAAAGAAATATTATAGGACATTCTACTTTGCATTCCCCGAAATCAAACAAAGAAGCGAAATAAATAAAATATTGTTGGACATTCTACTTTGCATTACCGGCAATGCATAAAAGAAGCGAAAAAATTCGAAGGCATTATAACGCTATGCCTTCTAGAACACGTTACCACTAAAAGCGATTACCGATTTTTTGCTGGGTGCCCACTGTTGGCCAAGGAAATGCCGATTGGGGACGCGAATGCGTGTGGCTGAGGAAGTTCGGTAAGCGTGTTTTATACTGTTTTTTTTTTTTTTTTTGTTTTAAGATATATGCAACTACATATTGGCACTCTTCATCTCATCTGAAAATCCGCGCTAATATTGTCTTGAGGCGAATTGTAATGCGTTACTCCATCGATACAAATAGTAAGCGCTTACCAAAAACAGAAAAGTTTCCGAAACATATCGCCATACCTACATATAGTACATATCTAATACTATTTCATAACTTCCTCTTACCACCAGAAATCACAACTGATGGCCGATTTACTTGGCAATCGAGTCCCGCACCTGCCCTCAGAGAGCACGCTTCAACAAACTGATATATGCGAGCAGAGTGAAGAGAAGTAGGTCAAAGCGTATTCAATAAGGTGGTATCGGTACGCCAATAACAAAACAAGAGAGAACAACTGGTACGCTGAGGAATGTCACGAAGGCCAGAGAAAAAAACGATGCCGCCTACAGAGCCACGCTACATTAGGACGCAACGCGAGCTATGTAAGTAGATATAGGGAGCTAAAGAAAGAAGCGAGATATATTTTTCGATATAAAAAATGTTACTGACGGACAAGAAATTTTACCAGAAAGCTAGGCGACTTACGAAAGATTTCCAGAAGGTAGTTAAATTATAGAGAGAAAACGTTCCCACTTTTATTAATGTTAGAAGCGCTGAACGTAATGAGAAGATGAATCCGAGCCCCTAGTTGATGACGACGGCAGCGATGTCCCACCGCCTAACTGACACCGGCTGAAAACAACAACAACAAAGCTGGTAGAGCTAAGTATGCGGTTTTATAGCCCAGTTAATTTTAGTATAACAAAGAGCAATTCGGCAATTATATTTTGTATGGAGAAAATGAGCAACACCTTCCACAAAAAAAATTGCCAAAAATCAACGCGATTTTCTAGAAACTTCTAACTTGCACTTTGTTAAAATAGAATGGGCTATAAAATTGCATACTTAAAAAAAAACTGAAAAGCAAATTAGGATGCAAATTTATTGAATTTTCCTGAGTTTTGCGCAAAGTTTAGAGATTTTACTTTCATGTTTCTTGGTGTAGTATGAACTATGTTTTTATAAAAAACTGTCGAAAATAAATTAGAATAAAAAACTTTGCATATATTGCGAAAAATTCACTGTGCTAATACTTGTGTTCGTCACTGTATGTACATATATATCTAAGTTTTTGAAGTTTTCATCATTCAATTAATAGATTAGCTTGTTGAGGAGAATTCCTTCAGCCTACCAGATGACTAAACTTCCCAAACTTGGCTAAGATATATGAGTTTCCATCTGTCTTTTTGTATACCAACTATATGAATTGATCAAACTCTGATTGTGTTTTCCCACAAGCGTCAAATTTTGAAATTATTCTGTATAGTATTAAGCATGCGATATGTATTTATAATCAAATTACATCATTTCCTGATTTCGTATAAATCAAAACACATTTAACATTATTTAGGGTATTCATATAAATGCATAAATGCCTTGTAACTGTGTAAACCTCGTAAATAAACCGGTTTTCCATACAAAATTAAACAATTTTACGAGCTTTACGTGGATATGAGGCTTTTACGCGTTTAGGTGAATTTATATATTATTTATTTACAAATAAAATTTACTTTGTGATGAATGATGGCACAATTTGTTTTATGTATGCAAAATTTGTAATGATTTCAAATTAGAAAAATGTTTTGTACACATAATCCCACAATTTCATGCGTTCCGTATTCCATGCGTTGTCAACTTGAAATGGTTCCGTATCATTAACGATGGACAAGTAATCACAAAAACCTTGTTTTTCAAACAATGTCTTAGTGCAGGACTGTGTTTTATTGAAGACTTCAACATTTCTAAAAGAAAAAGAAAAAAGTATTTTATTGTGTGTAAAAAATATGTATTAAAAATATTAAGCTTTTAGTGCCAACAAAAACGATAACTACTAAGCAGCCGCTAGAGTAATTAAAATTACGGACAATATTCTCACTTTATTTCACAGGACATTTCTTTTCTAGGGTTTGTATCTATTTTTTCAGCAAAACTCATTTTATTCTACGAGTGATACTCCGTTAATAAGTACTTCACTATAGGTTAAGTTAGGCTACGGTGACATTAGGAGAGCGTTCAATAATCTACGTGCTCCCCGTTACTACCACTCTGGCTGCAGTCGCTAGACGAGAAACTCACAAGCTTTCCTTAATTCTTCTACACAAATTCAGAACCATCCCCAGTGTACATACATACTATATACTGTCCGAATTTAGCAAACAGCGGGATGATTTTGAGATTTTTAGACATAGGTTTGCAAAAATTTAACAAATCCAAGCTCACCAAATAACACTTTATCATGTGACAATCGATAAACTCACCCGGTTTTAGCGAACTCCACATAAATACCCACATAACGCTTTACTAGCGCTGCCTCTGGCGACGATTTGGAATATCCAAGCGGTGCTAATAGTTCCATACCAAAAAGAAATAAAGTGTCGTCATAGTGTGCGGTACCAAAGTCTTTCGTGCTGCCCGAAAAAAATTCAGTGTACGAATAAGGACCATGATAATTGAACTGCATATATCCTGTTGGAATTTGCCCTCCATTAGTGGCTTCCACATTATCGGCAATTGTTTTATATGCAGGATAATAAAAGTTATCATCACCCAAAAGCTAAGGGGAAGTACTTAGTAAGTACATACATAAATATTTGTTCCAACAAAATCATTAAAAATATACTCTCATTAGCAACATACATACATACCTCTAAGAAGCCATCCAGTGTGTCGTTATTCAACGAGTGAACTCCACCCATATATTCTGTCACTAAACGTTCTACAACATCGTTGACCTCCTCCGAATTTTCTGTGGCAGGCAACTCCAATATCACCTTTAATAATTCATCAAAGTTTTCGTTGAACTCAGCTTGCAAAGACAAATTACCAGCAAGTCTTAGAGCTATGGTCAGGCCTTCACCTTTCGTGGGTGCATTACCTGCAATCCATGGCACTGTCTTGGGTGGATCTTTATCGAGTAATTCACGCACGTTGGTGGTTAAAAATGGCTCTGGCCATGATTCCTCTTCAATGGTGAGTCGAAAATTTGCAAAAGGGTAAGCATACCAAGTTTTCAAGGCATCGGAAGCTAGTACCAATTGCTCTGCTTCTAAACTGCGTAGAGCATCGACAAGTTCTATGGAAGACATATTGGTAGCGTTGCTTATTCCTGCCGCTGTGGCAAATTTAATAGTTTGTGCCTTTTGGTCAATTGGTGCGATAAATTGTGTACCTCCAACCCCACTAACTGGAATCGCATTGCGAAACAAACCTTTGGATGGACCCAATATTTTATTATTATTATTATTATTATT